TTGTCTAAAAGAAAAAAAGCATCATTCAAAGATCCGCTCCAGATATGGCAACAGCATTCCATACAAGGATGAGTTTGAGATTTATAGAGATTAAAAATAGAATCTGGAGTGAGAAAGTGGCGAGCATGACAACAAAATGCAACCTTATCAGATGCTAATTTTGATTACAACCTTAGCAAATGTTAATAAAAAGTAAGAGTTAATCCTAGAAGACGAAGGGTATATGAATCATCAAGTACATTGCTGTTTATAAATATAGGAAGATCTAGATTGTTGCAATAACAATTAGGTGAAAAAAATTGAGTTTTTTCTAAGTTAAAGTTCACTAACCACTGAGAGCTTTATGCTGTAGCAGAAGCGAAATCCTATTCAACCTCAAATGCCCCCTCCAAGCGATCAGAGAGTGTTGGCTTCTTATCAAGACAAGAATAAATTACCAACAATACCTCATTTGATGTGAGAAGTTCAGGGAAATCGTCAATATAAATTAATTTTTAATTAAATTTTAATTAAAATGTAAGTTAAAAAAAGTATACAGCCGAATATAGAACTTTGAGGAACCCCTAAAGTTAAAACCCCTAAAGCTAAAACCTCTAAAGAAAATCAAGGACATCAAAATCCATCAAGGACAACAGTTATATTACAATTGGTAAAGAAGAATTGGATAATTTTAAAGATGTTATCTGGTACACCGTATCAAAATAAGAAAGCTTTTGAAGAAGACCAGCATACTAAACTTTATTAAAAGCTTTAGAAATATCGAGAGCAATAGCCCTAACCTCTCCACATCTATCTAATGCACAATAAAACCTATCTGTTATTACCGCTAACAAATCAGCAGTAGAACAAGAAGATCGAAATCCATATTGATGATCAGAAAGTAAGTTATTAGATTCAAAATAAGAGGTTAAATTAAAAACTCAAAAACTTTGCTTATGACGATAAGAAGACTAATGCGAGGATTTAGATAAGTTAGATCACTCTCCAAAAATTTTGAAAATAGGGATAAAAGATGCTGCTTTCCAGCTGGCTGGAAAACAAGACTCTGATAAGCTTTTGTTAAATAGTTTTGAAAGTATAGATGACAGCTCTGAAGAACACTTCTGCAAGACTTTATCAAGTATGTTGTCCAGACCAAAAGCTGTAGAGAGTCTAAGCAGGAATTCACTGTAGATACAGAAGCTGGAGTGTTACAAATGTAAAACAATGGATCAAACTGTTTGTTTGATCCATTGTTTTACATCCACCTATATCAGGTAGGATGTGGTTAGTGGAATTAAGAGATAAGATTGATGAAATATTTTTAGCAAACAATTCAGCTTTGACTTTAGGTGAGTTAACAAAATCTGAACCATGCAAAAGAAGTGAAATAACAGATTTGCCCATATTATAAACACTGTTTAAGATTCTCCAGAAGTCTTGAGTCTAATTTTTGAGATGAAATATGAGATTTTGTGATATTTATATATATAATATATATATATATATATATATATATATATATATATATATATATATATATATATATATATATATATATATATATATATATATATATATATATATATATATATATGTATATATATATACACGCACACACACAAACAGTACTCGAAATATATATATATATATATATATATATATATATATATATATATATATATATATATATATTTATTTTATATCATTTTAATTGTTCTTTAGATTTTATAAACAATTTTTGCGAGCTTTTGCAGTGATAAATAGCACTTGATTATAATCTTTGTCTTTGATTTTGTTTTTAAGATCTCTCTTGAGGTTTTTAATAATATTAATAAGATTAAAGTATCGTCTTTTAGAGTCATTTTTTAAACAAAAAGTTCAAATCTAAAATGAAAGTTCAAATCTAAAATGAAAAATAGTACCTCTTGCTTTCCTTGAATTTACAGGACAATTGATTCGTAAAGATTTCAGATTTAATGTGTTTCTCGCATTTTTGTAAAAATATAAATTGATTTTTAGATTTAGCTATCGACTTCTTCAAATCCATTCTTCAAATTCAAATTCTTTGGTTATTGTGCAAATTTCAGCTCAGTAATTAATTAAATTTATAAGAAAGCTGAATTGTTTGCTAAGTTTGTCCGCTGTTAAGAATTATTTAAATGTTGACATCTTGTAAAGTAGTTTATATATATACGAGAGTACTACTTTTTTTTCTAGGAATATAAACTACTTTTTTTTCTAGGAATATAAACTACTTTTAAACTTCAGATAATACAAGTTCTCCCAATACTAAATAATTTATATGAAATTTTTGCCGGATTATAGATGAATCAAAACTTCAAGTACGAGCAAGGGATCAACAACACCAAAAATTTGAAAAACAGACTGCATTAGCTTTGCATAAAGTAAATTGCGACGAGGACATTGAATGAAATAAAGCAAACACTTTTTTGTTGAGTTGTTGAGGCTAAAAGTTTTAAAAAAATGTCTGTGAAGTCTTAGAGATACAAAGACATCATTGTTCTCATATTATCTAATGTTTTAAAGTAGTTCATATATGTACTCTTGTACAAGATGTCAACATTTAAATCATATATATATATATATATATATATATATATATATATATATATATATATATATATATATATATATATATATATATATATAAATATATGTGTGTGTGTGTGTATGTGTGTGTGTGTGTGTATGTATGTATGTGTATATATATACATATATATATATATATATATATATATATATATATATATATATATATATATATATATATATATATATATATATATATATATATATATATATATATATATATGTATATAAAACAAAATTTTTAACTTTAAATTTTTAAAAAATACTAAAAGCAATTTTGTAGACAAAAAAGTTTTTTAAGTTTTATTTTAGTTTTTTTAATTATTTATTTTATTTTCTCATTATTTTTTAATAATTATTAAGTTATACATTAATTAAATAGTTTAGATTTATCTTTTAGACTTATCTTTTCATTAAAAAAAAAAGATTCCTTTTTCCTTGAAAGATGAACAATGTAATGTTTTCAAAGTTCTTAAACATTTTATTGTTAAAATTGTTGTGCATTTAGAGTAAATTAGTCAACTATTTCACAGCATCCTTTCTTTTGTCAAAGTACAGAAGAAATACATAGTTAAGCTTTTTTCTTTACTATTATTATGAATTTCTTCATATGCACTCTATACGTTAGGGTGAAAGAATTTTTACTGAGTTAAATTGTGTGAATGTTATTAAGTGAAACCACTTTACTGAACCCATAATTGAACTCATTATAAAAATTTAAATTATTTCTGTGGAGTTTTTTTAGAAAACATTTACATATGTTTTATATATACTTTCTACCTGTTACATCATACTGAAGTATACAGTATAAACTATTTTGATAGAGTTCTGTCTGAATAATAAATCTGTTTAGAATGATATACCTGCAGCTCGCTCAATTCTTGCATTAGCATTTCAAGCAAATCCCAACAATGAAGAAATTTGGTTGGCTGCAGTTAAACTTGAGTCTGAGAATAATGAAGATGAAAGAGCTAGGTAAAAATATATATTTTTAAACTTTTTGCTTTGACGACCAGTTACCTACATATATATATATATATATATATATATATATATATATATATATATATATATATATATATATATATATATATATATATATATATATATATACATATACATATACATACATACATATACAAGGCTGGATTTATACCATAGCTATCAAAAATACTTTAAATGAAAAACTGTTATATACTACATATAGCATTAAACTGTTACTTCTGTATATATATATATATATATATATATATATATATATATATATATATATATATATATATATATATATATATATACTTTTATATATATATATATATATATATATATATATATATATACTTTTATATATATATATACTTTTATATATATATATATATATATATATATATATATATATATATATTTAATTGTAGGTATGGAGGCTCAACCTTTTTTTATTAGAAGTTTTATTAGAACAGCACTCATTATTGAGTTTGTTTATAGATAAATTAAAGAAAAATAATGTGTATTGCTTATATATAAATTAGGCACTAACTATTCTTATAGGAAATGTTTTAAAGAACTTAAAAAATTAAAAAGATTGTCATGTGAAATGATAGGGATGGGGTGTTGAGATAAATACATAGATCTAAATTAAAAATCATAGTTTTATTTAGATCAATAATGTCACAGGAATTGTAAATAACAGGGGCTAGACAATTTATTAAGACCTGTAATTTCATTAAAACACTTCTGCGAGACTATAACAGGTATGTTGTCTAGACCAAAAACTGTGGAAGCAGGAAATCACTTTAGATACAGAAGCTGGAGTGATACAAATGTCAAGCAATGGATCAACCTGTTTGTCGGCTATATCAAGTAGAATGCAACTAGTGGAATTGAGAGATGATATTGATAAAAAGTTCTTAGCAAACAATTCAGCTTTTTTTTTAGGTGAGGTGACAAAGTCTGAACCATACAAGAGAGGTGGAATAACAAATTGCCCTTATTATTGATACTGTTAAATATTCTCCAGAAGTCACGAGAGCCTAATTTTTGAGATAAAATACGAGATTTCATGGCTTGAGAATAGCGGGTTTTGGTATTAGGCAAAACCTTTTTACAATGGTTTTTAGCAATAGTAAGCAAACATCTGTTTTCTCGAGAATTGTTTTGCTGATAGATATGGAAGTTATGGTTTTGATTGGAAGTTGCAGCAGCATAATGTGAGAAATACCATGAAGAAGAGTTAGGCTTGACTCGGAATCGTTGAGAAGAATAAAAGATTCCATGTCAGCCTGAATGTAAGAAGCACATTTGTCAAAAGGCAAAGGTTGTGGGCCTTGCCAACCTTAATCTTTTAGATTTTAGCATAAGGTCATCAAAAACAATTTGATACAAAGGTTTTACCATAGAACATGTCGGCATTGTTGAATGTTGACCCTAATTCCAAGGGCTGGTTTATATCTAAATATATATATATATATATATATATATATATATATATATATATATATATATATATATATACACATGTATATATGTATATATATATATTTATTATTCTATTTGTTTATTCAGAAATCAATAATATACCTCCATGCTGACAAATATTAGACACATGATGTGTCTATACTTAAACTGTTAGTGCGTCGAATTGACTTTTAAATGTTTCAGTTAAAAAGGAGTTAACAACGCTTGATGGTAAAGCATTCCATGCGTTGACTACGCAGTTTGTGAAGAACATTTTTCTTTCGAAACAGTTCTTGACTAACAGCTTAATAAGTCTTAAGCTATTACCACAAAGGTTATACTGGGAAAGCGTTTGCCCATAGACTTGAGGCTGTTATATATATATATATATATATATATATATATATATATATATATATATATATATATATATATATATATATATATATAATTTTTATATATATAAATAAATATATATATATATATATATATATATATATATATATATATATATATATATATATATATATATATATATATATATGTATATATATATATATATATATATATATATATATATATATATATATATATATATATATATATATATATATATATATATATATATATATATATATATATATATATATATATATATAAACAAACACACATTCATATATATATGAACTTAAAATTAAAAGTGAAAATATGTTATGTTAAACATAAATGTATTCAGGATAAAAAATTTATTTCATAAAAAAAGTAACTGATGCTATTAATAATTAATAGTAAATAATAATTACAAAATAATATACAATAACAGATTAAAGTAAAAAAACATATAGTAAAAAAAATATATAGTATTAACTAAAATGATAGAACAATAATTAAAAAATATTTTAAAATATTTTATTTTTTAAATTTTATAAATTTTAAATAGAAAATTCAACATTAGATAATAAGTAGATAAAGTTTATTTTAAAGAAAATAATAAAAGATACAACAACTAAAAAAAGTATTATTCTTTCGATTTTTGCTTTGCAAATATATATTTTTTAAATTTTTTTTAAGCAATTGACATATTTACAGAGTTTTTTGCTGACCTAAATTCATAAGTTTTTTTGAGAAAAAAAAACAACAAAAAAATAATCAAGGAGCATGAAAAACACTTATTCCTGCACCAACCCTCAGTCTCAGTCAATGTGACAGCAATTCCCTTGCATCGTCTCCTTATTGCAGTTGATGTATGTACTAATGCCCTCACAGATCCTTAAGTCAGTATGATATCTATTACTCAGTCTAAGTTTGCCATTATATGTGTATATCAGTATTGACCAAAAAACTAAAATTCTTTCATTAAATATTTAAATCTGATTATGAGTCTAAATTAATAATAGCTTAGACTTTAAATATGTTTTGGAATATAATTATTTAAAAACTTTGGCATATAAAATTCGCCGAATGGTCACACACAAGCAGTGAACGCCTGAGGGAAGAAATGAAGTACATTAGAATAAAGGAGAATTATTTATTAGACAAAGCATATTTTGACAGTTGTCAAGACAAAAATAAAGATTAATAGAGGAATATTTAAAAATAAATAAGACAAGCTATACAACCAAAACAGTACTCAACCATAATAACAATAAAAAAAATTAAAAAAAATAAAAACAAACAATAATAAAAAATATATATATATATATATATAAAAATAAAAAATAAAAAATAAAAAAATTGTTTTATAAATACCAATATGAACTAAAATATACAAGAAATACATAACCAGTCAACAATTTGTAAAACAAAAAACCATTCAACAAATTAAAAATATGCTAACAACAATGAAAAGACTAATAATGGAAAAAAAACATTAATGCTAATGTGTAAACATAATTAGTGTAGTGATAAGTAATAAACATCTCCTCAGAGTCGCGTCTATTATTACTGGAGTTTCGATGAGGATCAGCATTTATAACTAGTTTATCCCATCAGACAAACGTCATCGCCACTTATGCTTTACCCCAGCTTAGACTTTAAATATGTTTTGGAATATAATTAAGCAATTATGACTAATATTAATGTTAAATTGGTTTAATTATATATTTTTTTAATTATCAATTTTTTTTAATAGTATTTTTAAACAATTTCTTTTTCATAAAATAAATGTTATTTAGACGGTTGCTTGCTAAAGCTAGAATGAGTGCCCCTACTGCTAGGGTAACATTATGTTTTTTATATTTCTTATTGCTACAATTTATATATTATTTTTAGATTTTTTATTGTTTATGTATTTTTTTTTAGGTATATATGAAGTCTGCGAGGCTAGAATGGGTTCTTGGTAATTATGCTGAGGTTGTTTTTTTTTTTTTTTGTCAAATATTTTAAAACAAATATAATTTTTAAAAATAAAATAGATTATTTATAAAAATGTATAAAAGTTTAGTTAGAAATTGAGAGTAAATATAAAAATTTTTTAAAAACCAATGAAAAATCAATTAAATTTTTTTTTTTTTTACAGAGTAAAGCTTTACTAAAAGAAAGTCTCTCTAAGTACGAGGATTTCCCAAAGGTAATGTTTTTAATGATTTATGCTTGTTCTGATTTATGTATCTTAACTAAATCATACTTGATGAACAATATTTGACTTATTTAACCAATCTATCACTTTATTTAACTTATGAATCTTGTTTTTTATGAATATCAAGAAATTTCAAAGTATTTTTTTCAGATTCAAAATGGCTGTCAACATCTTTAAAAGATATTACATTAATATTTGTGTTAAATTCAATAGTAAGTGATTCATGTAAAAATGCCTCAGATACAACAACCAATAAAGGAGGCCAATAGTTAGGTATTGCCAATAGGTCCAGATTTTTTTAGTTGATAAATTTTCTTTCCCTTATGAAAAATAACAGTCTGTAAGACATAGGTCAGTTAAATTTTTTTAATATTATTTATTTGAAGTTCTTGCAGTTAAACCATAGTTGTTACAAAGAATCTCATTAGCTTTTTTAATTGCTTTTACTTGGATACAATTTTGCAACATCTTTAGATACTTAAACTTTAGATGGCAATATGTCCCAAGTCTTTTTTAGATAACGATATGTCTCGAGTCTTTTTTAACAAAATCATGTGTTTTTTGTTTGGGTTACATTCTTTTGGAGGGTTGATTGGATTATTTACATTAAATATTCATTACTTGGAGTTGCTATAGTAGAGCGAACCATACATATGATAATTTTTTAGTAAATTTTTATTGTGTTATACATATGATTCACCTAGATCACAATTTTTATACTCTGCTTTGCTCAATCGGTTCTTTTTTTAAAAGTCTCTTAGTATAACTTGAAATTTGGATGTCATTTTTGGTTTCGGAATCTTTTTTTTTTTATTATTTTATCATCGCAGAAGTTTAGTGTGACTGATTTTATTAATTTCTTTAAAATGGACAGATAAGCTTTGTTAACTTTCTTAAATTTTTCAAATTTTTTTCATATGCTATTAAAACTTTTTCTTTAGATTTATTTGTAATATTATTACGTTTTTTTTTAAATCAACTGGAAATAAAGAAAATGAAAGCTTGAATACTTTTTAAAACATCTAACTGTATAAAAAATTGCTTCTTTTTTTTTTTTTTTTTTTTTTATGTATTTCTAATGCAACTGTGAGTTTTACCGCTTTTATCAATTTTATTTAGGGTACAAATATTTTTAGGGTACAAATATTTTTAGGGTACAAATATTTTTAGGGTACAAATATTTTTAGGGCACAAATATTTTTAGGGCAAAAATATTTTTAGGGTACAAGTATTTTTAGGGCACAAATATTTTTAGGGAACAAATATTTTTAGGGTACAAGTATTTTCAGGGTACAAATATTTTTAGGGTACAAATATTTTTAGGGTACAAATATTTTTAGGGCACAAATATTTTTAGGGTACAAATATTTTTAGGGTACAAATTTTTTTGCAATTAATTTTTGATCTACTAATCAAAAAAAAAAAATTTTTCAGCAAAAAAATTTTTTGTTTTTTTGTTTTTTCGTTCTGGTAATATTGATATATAAAACAATATTGATATATAAAACATTATTGGTATACAAAAAGTTGAAAGACTCAAATATCTTTCAACTTTTTGGTTGTTTTTTAAATTTTAGTTTGTGTATTGTGTATATTTTAACTGCAAGAACCTCAAATAAATGAAATCAAAATTTAATTGACCTAAATGGGTCAAATAAAGGTCAAATAAATTTGGTTGTCAAATCATAAAAAACTGTGCCAAGGAATAAACATGGATAATATATCTCAGTGATTAAGTATTATCAGTGAGGCCTTAGAAATTCAGCCTCATCAAACAGGACATCTTGACCTCATGGTTATGAATCTAGACAACAGCCAATAAGTTTTGGAAAATAATGATGCCTTATTTGCATTCTAAAAAATGATGCTATGTTATATATATTCTTTATCCTTCTTTTTCTTTAACAATTTTGTATAAAAAACTGATAACGGTTTTGTAAAAAGTATTTAAACATTGTCTGATGATCGGGCTGTCCAACTAACATTAAATTAGCTTTCCATGCAGAATCTCTTGTTTTAAGATTATTTGAAAGTTTTACTTCTAAATCTATTTATTTTCCATCCATTAGATAGGAAAGTTTCTCATTTTTTGATCACTTTTTCAATATTAAGTAAACAAAATATTTTTAACTAAAAAATATTTAAGTCAGCTTCTTTTTTTTTTTCTTTTGGTTTAAATTGGTTAAAATTTTGTATCCATTAGCATGAAATTTGCTATATTTTGATGGCAATCAGTTACATCATTAATAAATATCAAAAATGTAAATGACCCAAACGCATCTTTGAGGTACACTACTCAAAACAGTTCCATGTGGAGATAAGATCACAACACTTTTTTTATCAAGTTGATTAAGGTGCCCCAAGAAGTCCTTACGGCCTTATCACAAAGCACTGCGGAAGAGCATTTAATAGGAAGTTCACGCCTCCTTCCCAACCGATGTCGCAAAACTTGCCCAGAGGTGGGGTTTGAACCACAGATCTTACGTTTCTGAGACAAGTGCGCTACCACTGCGCCACGGCTGCTCTTACACCATATCCCTCAAGTACTTACACCATATCCCTCAAGTATTAAAGTTGGAAAAAAGTCCATAAAGTACTATGTTACATAGAGTACCATGTCACATACAGTACCATGTTATATAAAGTACCATGTCACATAGAGTACCATTCACATAGAGTACCATGTCACATATATGTGCCTTTATATTATAGTTGTTATTATTTTATCATTTTTTTGTTGAACAAATTTTGTTTTTTATCAATTTAGTTATGGATGATGAAAGGTCAACTTCATGAAGAAGAAAAAGATTTGTATGAAGCACAACAGGCATATAGAAATGGTGTAAGTTTTAACAATCATTGACCCCATAAGTTTTCAGAAAAAGTTAAAAAAATAAGAAAATACTGAAGAAAATGCAATATTAGTTTTGTTGCACAAAATATACATACATACAAAATATATATACAATCCAAATTCTTATTTAATGTATGTACAGAACGCCCAATTGCTTTTTTTTGTTGTGATCCTTAATACTTTAATTAGTGGAACTGAAATATAAAATACATAATTGTGTGTTTAATTGTAACATAAATAAAACTTTTTTTTTTTCCCCGTTAATCGCAATTTTTATTTCTCTATTTTTACTATATTTTTCATATATGTTCTTTTTTTTATATTTTTATTTTATGTCAATTTTTATTTATTCATTTTTAAATTTATTATTTTCGTAAAAAAATTTATTTTTTATAAATATTTTTATTATTTTTATTTAATTATTATCTATTATATTTTATATTTTTATATATATATTTACAAAAACGATTATTTACATTAAAATAACTAACCCTAACCCTAACCCTATGCCTGACCTTGCTGCCTGGCCAAACCAAACCCTCAGTCGATGTAGCAGCACTTCCTTGCGAGTCAGGCTATTTGTCAGTCGATGTATGTACTTTTTGCTTTGCATAAAAACTATTTACGGGGACATTTTTTTACAAAAAAAATGCCACTTACGAGGACAAAAAATTATCAAGTACTCTAAAATGTCCCCGATACTGCTAATTTCCTCGTAAGTATCCATTTTAATGTAAAATCTGTTCTCGAACATGCTATTTTATGGAGATATATATATATATATATTTATATTTATATAACGTGTATGATTTTTATATTTAGATTTTATGTTTAGATTTATAATAAGCAAGTGATAAAAAAAAAATTCAGTCCCAAAATAAAATTAGTGAAATTTTTTAAAATTGCATTTGGTTTTTTATAAAGTTTTTGGTGACAAAAACTTTATAAAAAATCAAATGCAATTTTAAAATTTTAAGCAAAAATATTAAATCAAATATTTTCTGAATAAAGTTGTTACATCAAGGATATTTACAAATAGTAATAAGTACTAATATGAAGTAAATTCAATAATGATAAAAATAGGGATAATAATTATAATACAAATATTATTAAAAGTAGTTATAAAAATTTATACTATAATAATAATTTAAATTTATGTAAACACATTTAATTTTAAAAATTTACATCAATAAAGGTTTCAACTTAATTTTAAATGGATTAATGAGCTGTTTAGCTAGAGAATGAATTTTGTAGCGGGTTGTATTTAGAGAATTGAAATAGAGGTTGTATTAGAGAATTGAAATAGAGGTTGTATTAGAGAATGAATTTTGATGCCATTATTTTGCAGATTTTTACTTTTTTCAACTTAAGCATTATTGGCTACCTTTTTTAAAAGTCTTTCATTTTTTGTTACTCCACCCTAAATTACAAAGAACTCTTTTAGTTATTGCCCAAAAATCTTTATACTTGCGTTCTTCAGGACAATTCGGAGGCTTCGCATCTTTAGGTACAATTTTCACATTATTATCTCTGCACCAATGTAGAAATGTAGAAACTTTAGAAATTTTTTACAATAGTGAGAAGCAGCAATCATTGATTTGTAAACAAAAGTTTAACAATACAATTAAAGATAAGGAAGTAACGTTTAATTTAAAAATGAAAAAAATTAAAAACATTTGTGGTTTTAGAGAAATCTCAATTTAAAGTTGACCAGATTTATTTGTGTCGACTCTAAAAGAACTTTGTTTAAGAACTTAAAGAAAAGTTGTTGAATAAAGTGTTGCTAAATGAAACCACATAAAAAGTCCAGAAAAGAATTCAAACCTGATTTGACAAATAGGTGAATTAGTATGAAAGTATATGCCCAAATATGGCAGATTATATAAAATGCCAAAAACAAAACAAAAAAAACACAAAACTATACAAATCACCAGAAACCATATAAAATATATTGATATATATAAAAAATCAGAAATTATAAAATATCAAAACTACACAAAACGCAGCATTTCTTTTGAGAAAGTAATACACAAAACATTTCTTTTGAGAAAATAATTCTCTAAAATAATAACTTTTTATAAATTTTTCTTAAAATTTAAAGGTTAAATTAAAAATTTTAAAAATAATCTTTGTTGAATTAGAATGTTTCGTAAATTAAATTTGAAGAAAAGAAAGTTAAACTATTAGTTAAGTTACGGAAGTTGTTTTATGGTTGTTTTCAGGTGTTTTATGGTGACTTATCAGCTGATTTATTTATTATTAGTCGTTTTCAAGTGTTTTGTGCTGACTTTACTTATTAGCTGGAATCTAATGAGCTTAATAATATAAAGGCTTTAAAATAAATTTTGATGAAATTTATTATTTTTACATTTCTTTTTTATTCAGACCAAAAAATCTCCCACATCTTTTCAGTTATGGATATTATTAGCTCGTCTAGAAGAAAAACAAGGTTTTTTTTTAATTGTACTTTTTTAAATTTATTGAATTGAGTATTAGTTTTTATTGAATTTATAGATTTGAATGTTTAGTTTTTTAAAAGAATTTTCATAGTAACCAAGTTTGCTTTAGGTTTTTATGGTTACCGAATTTGTCTTAAGTAATATTAATGTTGCAGGTAACATAACAAAAGCACGTTCAGTTCTTGAGCAAGCAAGACATCGAAATCCACGTGTTGATTTATTATGGTATTCTTTTTTTTTTTTTTTTTTTTGTTGTTGTACTTTAATTTTTTTTTATAAATAAAAATAAGTATTAGCCTTTTACAAAGATATCTTATACGTATTTTTTAGGCTTGAATCTGTTCGAATTGAAACACGTGGTGGAAATAAAGACTTTGCTAAGTCATTAATGGCTAAAGGTTTTCACATTAAATTTGTTGAGTCATGCTATTTAGGATTGTGTTCATCTTTAATACTCCATATTTCATGATGTGTTTTTTTTTATTTCTAAAAAAATAAAAATAGTGCCTAGAAAAAATCAATTTATTAAAAATTAAAAATTCTAAAAAAAAAAAAATGTAATGATTTTGTCCACTTATTTATCCTATTTATCCGTAGTTATAATTATTTTGTCGTATATGCTAATAAAAAAATGTTATATCAGCACGTTATCTGTTACTAATGGTGAAGATTTATTTATTTATTTTTTATTTATTTTTTTGTTTTATTATTTTTTTTTATTTACATGTTCTATTTTGATACTTCAACTTCATTTTCATTTTTGATACGTTTGAAATGTATATTTTAGCTTTACAAGACTGCCCCAGTTCTGGACAACTTTGGGCGGAAGCAATCTTTATGGAAACCAGACCTCAGCGTAAAACAAAAAGTGTTGATGCTCTCAAACGATGCGAACATGATCCTCATGTTCTTTTAGCTGTATCAAAGCAAGTTTCTTTATACGTTATTTTTCATCGTGCGCCCGTGCATGAATACATAACAAAACATTTTTATTATTTTTGTATAATAGATTGTTTTGGAGTGAACGCAAACTCAACAAAGCACGCGAGTGGTTTAATCGCACTGTTAAAATAGATCCTGATTTTGGTGATGCTTGGGCATATTTTTATAAGTTTGAATTAGCACACGGAACTGAGGTAAAATTGAATTTATTTAATTAACAAAATTATTATGTCAATTATTAATATATGCATTGTTATATTATGATAATGCATATATTAATAATTGGCATAAAATTTGATTATTTATTTTGTATGCTATGATTATTTTTTTTTAATGGGGAAGGGGCTATTATAATAATAATAAGAATTTAAAATTAGTCATTAAAGACGTAAAAACATTAAAGTGTAGTTGTCCAATTACTTAAATTTAAATTTATAAATGGTACTTTTTTTTGTCTAAGCCAATCAAAAGTCTTTATATAAATAATACTTTTTTGTTTAGGCTAATCAAAAGTCTATAATGGAACGTTGTGTTAAATCTGAACCACGTCATGGTGAAATGTGGAATCAAATTGCTAAAAGCACTAAAAATTGGCGCAAAAAAACAGACGAAATTTTACCAATAGTAGCGAGGACTTTGAAGCCTGTTGAAAATATTTGATTGTTTTAAAACAGCCTAGGTTCTAAAATATTAGCGTTTTGGAAAAACGTAATTTCAAAAATCGGCAATTTAAAAGGCAAAATAGTAAATATAAAGTAGCAAGACGATAAATATTTCAGCAGCAAAAACAATGAAAGAAATAAATCCGTATATTACCGATGAAACTTTTGATATCCGATGAAATTTGGAGAAAAGTGGCGAAAATTGCAACCATATTTAACGCGTTTAAATTTAAGCGAAAAGCAGTTCGGTTACAAAAATAGATTAATTGTAGTTGTTTTTAATTGTTCTTTAAATTGACGAGGGAGTTTTATATATATACATTAGAGGCAGAATTGTTATTCCTTGGCCTCGGCCTTGCCTAAAAGCCCTTGAAACTGTTGGCCTTGGCCTTGGTCTTAGCCTTGAAAATTTTGGCTTTGGCCTTGATTGTTTTGGCCTTTATTGTTTTGGCCTTCAAAAAAAATTATAAAATAAAAGTATTCATTCTTCATTTTTCGGCTTTCATGCATATCTACAAGTATATTTTCTTATTGACTTCGTTTAATTCTGCGCATAACCTTGGTTTAATTTTACAATATGTGGTTTTATTGTCACAGCAATTGTTACCTACAGATTTGGTAATAATTGGCCGTAATATAAGACAAAAATTAAAGTCCTTTGGTCTTGAAAAATGTTTGTGTTGGCCTTTGTAACATGTGGCCTTTGTAACTTTCTACTTTTGGCCTTGTTAACAACTCTGATCAGAGGTTATTAAATGAAAATAATTGTTACTCTATAAGGCCCTTCAAGGTATAAGAGAAATTCTGTCAGATGAAAAAGTTAAAACTAAAATTTTTTGTAAACATTAACATTTTTTTTTTGGCAGTATTTTTTTAAGATAAATATTCGTTAAAATCCGTGAACGAATATGTTAATGCTAAATATAATCTTAATAAGCATAAATAAATTAGTGTCATCAGCAAACATAATTGTTATTTAACCCGAGGCTTTGTATAGATCATTATTATAAATAAAGAAAATAAGTCCTAATATAGATCCTTGAGGAACTCCACATGTAATATTCAACAAATTTGATAAAAATATTTGATCGGCCTAAACAAATTGTTTACGATAAATAACTTAGTAATAAATGTTTACGTTACGATAATAATTGTTTACGTGAAATAACTTCTCCACCGTTTTAAAATATTGTTTGTTATATCATAATATTTTAATTTTTTAGCAAGAATTTTATGATCAATTGTATAAAACGTTTTCACTAAATCAATAAATATTCCCAAAGTGAACTTCGAATTGTTAAATAAGTCTGATATACTTCTTGTAGGCTGAATAACTGCATGCTCTCTTGAATTATCATTTTTTGAATCCATTTTGCATGTTATATAATAATTTGTTTGCTAAAAGCTGATTGTATATTCTGTTGTGCAAAATTTTAGAAAAAACAGAGAGGACGGAAATTGGACTTTAGTGTTATACATTATTATTTTCTCCTTCTTTAAATATAGGAATAGTTTTTGCCATTTTAATTCATTAGTAAAAATTCCCTGACTAATAGAGCATTTAAAAAAATTGGAAAAGTATGTCTTTTAAAACGTCAAAACAGCTTATAATAATATTCCCATTGACATCATCAGAACCAACTACTTTATTTGACTTTAACAATTTATAAGCTCTTTGAAACTCTTCAAAAGACAAATCAAAATAAAAACGATACGAGTTTCGAGGGTCTTATGTTACCTTTAATAATTCTTTATGGGTTGGAATTTTTTCGGCTAGGTTTAGTCCTACCGATACAAAATACTTACTAAATTCGAAAGCAATTATTTTTTGATCAAGAATAAGATCTACTTTAATAATTGAGAGCAAAGATGGCGACATTTTTTAGTGTTACTTTAATAACTGAGGACAAAGATGGCGACATTTTTTTAGTATTACTAGTAATTTTGTTTATTAGTTGCCAAGTGCGTTTTGAGTTTAATTTGTATTTTTTCAGGGAAATCAGTGAAGTATTTTTTTTTTTTTTTTTTTTTTGAATAGATGAATTGGTTGATTTCATATGAGGTTCGAAGTTTGTTAAGTATTTCGGTTTTTATTAGCCAATTTCAGCGCAATATCAAGGATAAAAGTTGTGCTTTTTAATTTTAACTAAGAGCTGTTGTAGCAAATTATTGTTAGCACATTTATTTTAATATATTTTTATTTTATTTCGCGTTGTCTGTGTGTTTTCATGTAATTTTTTCAACAACTTTCAAACAAGTTTTTATATTTTTTTAAATTTATTTCATTTTTATATGCTTTATACTATAAATATTTTTCATAAAGTTTTTGTTTCATCAATGATGATTTGTGTAAACTTTTAGTTTTTCTAATTCATATAGTTTGAAACATGTTTTGAATTGTATATGTGTTAAAAAGAAATGTTTAGTGAAAAACGTTTATGAATTGCTTCTATGAATAAAATATCAGACTTGTAACACGACAAGTAACAAAAAATTAGCAGGTTAAGTTTTAAGTTGTTCTTTAAAAAAATTAAATTTACTTTTTCATGATGTTTTTGTTTAAGAATAATTATTACTTTCGTTTGAATACTATTTTTTTTTTTCTTTTTAAACTTAAAGTCAAAAAAAGTTTTGGACAGTTTATTTAATGTATTTTTACTAGTATTTGAATGGATGAAGCGAATACCGAGTGAAGAACGTTTTTCTAAAAGACGCTAAGTCTATTTTTCAAAAAATAAGTTTTTTTAAACATTCGGATTCTTTTTTCAAAAAGGTACAAATATGTTTGTATGAATAAAAAAGTTGTTTATCATCTTTATTTAGGATAACAAAATTATTGATAGTCTAAACGTACTTCGCCAATAATCAGGTTTTTCTAGTATTGTTACGATTATTAAAACAATTTGACTGTCGACTAAATCATCTAAGTTGACTAAAAGATTTAGTCGAAATATGGTAATAATTTTTTTATTGAAATAACTTGTCATAAAATAATTAAGTGATTTATTTTAGCTTTTTTTTAACATCATATCATTTATATGTTAATGGAGCAAAACAATATGAGAACGGCCGTTCTGACAACAAGACAATTAATTCCCAGACCCCAATGATTTAGTAACTGCCTTAGGTACTTGCTTTATATCAAAGTCTTTACAATCATATTTACAATGTATTTACAAATTTTGATTTAAGAGCTTAATTTTTCCCCAGGGCCCCAAGCCAGTTTAAGGCGGCCCTGTATGAAAGTATTTATGAAAATGAAAATCATCGAGTAAACAAAAAAAAACAAAAAAAAAACTGATGAAGTACATAACCGATTGTTTAAATAGGTATAATTGTTTTCCTTATTTTATGTAGTTATTAAGGTGCTCTCAGAAGTCCTTACGGCCTTTTATGTCTAATTGGTAATAAGACCGTACGGTCTTATACCAATTAGACAAAAACGGTCTTCACACCAGTTAGATAAAACTGTATAAGAGTAAATAAAAAATAAGTAATATTTATAATTAGAGATATTAAACTTCCTAAAATAGTCATTCATTATGTACACTGCTAACAGCAAATAATAATTTTTTTTTTAGCAAGTTCTGCTAGTATAATGTTTCGCGTTTGCTCACCAACACTTTTTGTCATAATACCAACAACTTATTGTGAGCATTCAAGCAAAAAATGTTAACTCAAAAATCCTTGTTAGAAGAAATCAATCATTTAAGTTTTCTTCTATTTTGAAACTTTTATAATCTTATAAAACTGCATTTGGTATTCACATTTATATGATGTTAAATTTTTTTATTTTGCTGATGACACTAATTTATTTATGTTTGTTTTAGAAAATATTTATAGCTTTTATTTTTTTAAATTTAAAAGTTTTTAGCCAAAATAAAACACCCGCTTTATGAGTTAACGTTAAATGTAATTTTATTACCTGAGAAAAACTTTTTTCTCGTAATAAAATTATAATAGTAAATACTTTTGTTTTTAAACGAATAAATAAAAATAAAAGATTAGAAAGTTAAATCGAATAACAAGATAAAAAGATTTTAAGGTTTTAACTCGACTAAATCGACTTTTAGTTGATTAAATTGACTATTCGTTTTTTCTTAGTCCACTAGTTTCGACTTTTGACTAGTCGACTTTTAATCAATTTAGTCGAAGTCGATCACAACACTAGATTTTTCTATTTTTCTTAAAACAATAAAAAGGCTCTTCAAGTTTGAAAGCGTTATTTTAAAAGATATTTTAGTATAAGTATCAATTTCAGATTTAGTAGAACAAACTTTTGCTCTAAACATCATATAAGGTTGGATTGAATCAATACAAACCGGGTATGTTAAACGTACAGTATCGGACAAAACAAGTGCAACCAAATAATGCTAATTTAGTTTCTTTATATAAAAGTGCTCATTTTTTCAATTTAGAGAAATAACTATGTAACTGTTTAGAGACAACGTTCTTCAAGTTTTATTCATCACAATGTTCATTATTTGAACACGAAAATTAATAAATTAACCAAAAGTATTAAGAAAAGTTGATTTCTTTCTGGACAAAACAAGTGCAACTCCACAAAATGTTGACCAAGCTGTATTTCGCTATCAATATTTCGTGGCGAATCTTTTGTTGCCGATCACAGCCTTGCGTTTTCGAGGCATAGATTCGATTAGGTGATCAATGAAACTTTGTGAAATTGCTGCCCAAGCCTTTTGGATTTGTTTAAACAGTTGATCCTTATTACGAACACTTTCACAATTAATTCTGCCGTTGACACACAGGTCTCGATAGGGTTGAGATCCGGAGATTGAGGCGGCCAATCCATCACCGATAGGTTGTTGTCTTGAAACCACTGTTTGACTACTTTTGGAGTGTGTTTCGGATCGTTGTCTTGCTGAAAAACCCATTTTATTGGCATATTTCATTCAGCATGAGGTAACATAACATCTTTCAGGATATTTTTATACATGAAACGGTTCATTATTCCATCGATTCGATGTATTGGACCTAGACTGTTAGCAGAAAAACAACCCCAGACCATTACATTGCCTCCACCATGCTTCACGGTCTTATGGCTGTAACGTAAATCGAGGCGTTTTCCGGCCGGTTGACGTACACGGCAAATGCCATCGCTCCCATTGTTGTTGAACTTTGATTCATCACTGAACAGGACAGTTCGCCATTTCTGCACATTCCAGTCAATATGAGATGTAGCAAACTGGAGTCTTTTCTTCTGGTTCTTTAGTGAAATCAGCGGTTTCTTTGCAGGGCGTCGAGAAAACAAACCGGCTTCAACAGCACGTCGTCTGATTGTACGGTCCAATACAGGCTGCTCTAATTGCTTTTGTATCTCGACTGATAATATCCAGGGATCCTTCTTGACGGATCTAACAATCATAGAATCTTCTCTAGAAGTGGTGGAACGCGGTCTTCCACCTTATCTGCTGCCAACTTCCCCGTAGAACAATATTTGGAACATAGTCTTGATACGGTACATTTTTTCACGCGATATTTATCACAAATACTTTTTTGTGACATTCCACTTACGTAATTGCCAATAATTTTCTTTCTTAGTTCCAATCCAAGACTGTCGGGAGCAATTTTTGCACTTGAAGTGCACAATTTTTTTACAATTACTTCAAGTGCAAAAATTGCTCCCGACAGTCTTGGATTGGAACTAAGAAAGAAAATTATTGGCAATTACGTAAGTGGAATGTCACAAAAAAGTATTTGTGTGCATAAAAATTATAAAAATAAATAATCACGCTTCTCAAGGCTTACCGTGTTACATTTACCTTGTGATGATACAATAATGCTCTGTGGAACACAACGTCTTGGTTGGATGTGGACTGTATTGATGTAATAAAACACTTGTTGTATTTTACTTCTTGTATTGATGTTGTTCGATAAAACACTTTGACAAAACTCACTTCGATGAACTGTCTTGATAATACTGACTGATTGACTTCCATATACTGACTGAATTACATGTTGGTTTACATGTCTCTTATATAGTAAAATGAACCTGTGTGAACCTGTTCTAGAAGATTCTAGATGCTTCTTTTCGATGCTTCTGGAAGCTTCTGGATGCGTCTGGATGCTTCTGAATGTTTCTGGATACTTCTGGATACTTCTGGATGCTTCTGGATGCTTCCAGATGCTTCTTCTGAAAACTTCTGAAAGCTTCTGCATGCTTCTGGAAACTTCTGAATACTTCCTTTAATTATTAAAAAACTTTCGTGACGTTGACACGGACCAGGTTTAAGAAAATGAAATAAATCAAAAAAGTTGCACTTGTTTTTTCCGCTGCAAAATACCACTTGTCAACGAAATTATGTCTGTGTGCTGTCACCTGTCAGCTGATTGCTCATGTCATGGCATGCTATGACATGAGCAATCATGTCATAGCATGCCATGACCTGTCACTCCAGACTCCTGAACTGTTTGCTGTGGTAATATAGTTTGTTTCGTTTTTAAGACATGTAAAATTAGAAACACTTTTTAGCATTGTTCGATGTTGGTTGCAAATGTTTTGTCCAATACTGTATGTGCCAACTAGGCCTCTAAACATGATTATAAAAATTGATGTTTATGTTTTTTAACATTTGTGATGAAATTTTTTTATTTCACTGCTTTTAAATTTTAGAATAAATCAAGGTTATTAAATAAATAACGATGTTTTTAGAATTTTAAAGAATTCAATGTAATATGTAAGTTCAAGCATTTTGAAAAATAAGAAAAATTAAAAATTAAAATAAAAAAAATTATGCTAGGTTTTACTATATCCATAAATCAACTTGCTGAGTACGATACAAGTTGGCTTAAACAATATGTTTTATTGATTGCATAGGATTCACTCATATATTTTTCAACGGGAACAGGAAAAGGAAGGGGAAAATAATCGCGTGAGCATGCGTAGTTTTGCTTTGGAAAAACTAAAGTTTATATTACGTATGCTCTCGTAATTATTTTTCAGTTTCTTTTTCCGTTTCCGTAGAAAAACTGATAATTAGAAAATGACCTTTAGACGTATTAAGTTTTTTATTTAAATAACATGTCTAAAAGAACAAAAATTTAAAATTTAGTTTATTACTAATGTAAGTGAAAAACTTTTATTTTTTAATTCTTTTTATTTTTTAATAGTAAACCTACTTTTTTTGTTCTTTTAAAAACGATTCACTTTTATTATTGCAAATTGTTTATTATAATTTATTATTGTCTATTATATTTATTCACAAAAGTGTGAGATAATATGTAATGTCTGTTTTTAAAATATATTTCTAATAACCCTACATTTTAATTTGCTAACTAATATTGTTTCTTATCGTACTTTACAACAGAGTGTGCGTTGAACGAGTTTCCCACTACACAACCCAGTCTAATTAAGAAAATTTAGCTGTCAATTTATTTTTGTTGCTGGGTGTGATCAGTAACACCATTTGAAATGTTTTCACAAAACCCTTAGTTGTCAAATTTTAAAATAAAATTTTTGTTTCAAACTTTAAAATAAAAATTTTGTTGTTTAAATTAAAAATGTTGTTGTTTTTTTCAAAACAAACCATTAGCGTGATTCTATATAAACAAAAACTTCTTTTTTTTAAAGTTTCAAGGGATACCTTCTTCTTCAAACTAAAAGTTCCGAGGAATATCTTCTTCATCAAATGTAAATGAGCTTTAACATTGCGAATATTTAATTTTGTATGTGCAGTTTGAGGTCAAACAGATGAGCGGTAAATTTCGATAGTTTCTTTATCCTTGATTATTTTAAATATTTTTAGGACTGTATGAAGAATAACTGAATTACATTAACATATATAAAATCTTTGTTATTTTGTCACTTTTTCGGTTTTTAGTTGTCATCTTTTATTTCTTACTTTTTTTTTTTTAACATAAATTTTCAGGGATATTACTTAGAGATAAGAGAACAATATGTTAATTTGGATATTTATGACTTTTTATTGTTAAGGTTACACGGGGTTAATTTTTTCAGAAATAAAAATTGCTTCATTGCGTATATGAATAAATTTTATGATTTTTTTTTTTTGTAACTCCTGTGGTTTTTAATAAACATTTAATGCTTTTAATACTAGTTTTTTCAAGTGAAACATCTAAGTTATATAATCTGCTCCCACCCCCTAAATGTGTTCTATCTAATACAAAAACACTAGGTTTGTTTTTAAGTGAAACATAGTGAACTAAAATCAATGTTCATCGTAATGATCCAAAATCAATGATGATTTTAGCGATCCAAAACCAATGTTGTTTCAGTAACAAGCGCAAACAAAGAGGTTTTTTTGAAGAATATCAGCAAATATTTCAAAAAATTAGATGTATAAATCATCATTTTGTTTACAGATTAATTTTTTTCATAGTATAATAACGTGCCACTGTATAAAAATTTAGTTTGTATGTGCTTAATGTTGTAACTATTAATAGGAGTTTGATGAATAAATGATTTTTCTTTTTAATCATGTTTTATTATACCAAAATTCAATACTAATTAATGGTAGCAATATTTTGAAACCCTCAAATTGTTTTTGTAACGATAATATGTAAGCTTAAATAACGATAATATGTTAGTTAAAATAACGATAATATGTTAGCTAAAATAGCGATAAAATGTTAGCTAAAATAATGATAATATGTTAGCTAAAATATCGATAATATGTTAGCTAAAATAACGATAATATGTTAGCTAAAATAACGATAATATGTTAGCTAAAATAACGATAATATGTTAGCTAAAATAACGATAAGATGTTAGCTAAAATAACGATAATATGTTAGCTAAAATAACGATAATATGTTAGCTAAAATAACGATAATATGCTAGCTAAAATAACGATAAGATGTTATTTTTTCGGACTATATGAAGAATATCTGAATTATTTAAACCATTAAAAAACTTTGATGCAGTGCTATCTTTTCGGTTCTTAGTTTTTTATTTCTTCTTTTTTCCTTGTTGATGCCAAAACGTGTTGATATTACCATACCTAACTTGTATGTTGATTGGTGTTGCCATACGTAAAACTTGATTGGTGTTGTCATACCTAACTTATACGTGATTAGTGTTGCCATACCTAACTTGTACTTGATTGGTGTTGCCATACCATGTATGATGTTTTTTATTTTATTTTTTTGAAATAAAAACAAAAATTTATCAAGTTTATAAAATTTATAAAGTTCATCAAAACAGAGTAAAATGTTTTTAAAGCTGTCATCGAAGTATATAATTTCCAGTACTTTTTTACATCAGTTTAATTTTTCTCATATTTTCCTTTTGTTAAATGAAAACCACGTAGGAACCACCTTAAAACCACGTAGGAACCACCTTAAAACCACGAAGGAACCACCTTAAAAGTATTGATAAAATGTAAGAAACTTATAGTCAATTATATTTTTAATACAAAACCGAGTTACAAATAAATCTGAAAACGTAAATTAATTTCTATGAACAACGTGATTACCGTAAAGTAACCAGTAAAAATTTATTTCGTTTCGAAAACTGGGCGGGTGAAAAGCAAAGTTGTTTAAATATGAATACTTTTATGGTAAATGAGAATAAACAGCTGAATAACTGCTAACAGCACAATTCTTTCTGCTTTATAGTGAAACTTGAAAATATAGTCAAAAAAGTTACCTATAAGTAACTTTTGGTAAATTAGTAAAAAAAAAAATTAAAATAAACTTTTTACCCGCCAAATTAGTTTTGCGTGTTCATTCACTCCCATTGAATAACAAAAACTGATTGCAGTACTTTTATATTACAGATTAAAATGGTCCTGGTATATTTATAGCCATTCTTTGAGTTTTATTATTATTTTCAAACAAGCAAAAAAACTGCTAAATGAATGCTTAGCAATTGTTAAATTTAAGAGAATTTATTTAAAGATAATTCGAATGATGTTATTACTGATATTTATTTTAATAATTTAAAAAGATATTTATTATTATAATTGTAATTACTATTACTATAACTAATAATTATAAAAAAACTTTTAAAGAAATTAAAACAAAAGTATTTCATGCAAGTTACAAATAATAAGAACATCATAAAGTTCTAATGCTCAAGGTTTTTTAAAAATGTTCGGAATAAGCGTCGATTCTCGAAAAGCTTATACTGATGAAATGTAAGGTAATTATCTGAGAGATCGCTTTGTTTGATCTTTTTGAACGATTGATAAGCAGTCAGTTTTTTTTATTTCTATTTGAACTTAACTTTATACGCGTTGCTTTATTATTATTATTATTTTAAATATTATAACCTGCTATTCTTTAAATATCTAATGTAAACTTTATTTATTTAAATTTAAAATTTTTATTTTGTATTTTAGTTCAGTTAAAAACGAAAATGACACAACCAATCGATGGCAAATCTCAAGTAAAAGAAGACCATAAACAATCTTTCAGTGACGTTTATGACGAATTTTCTCGGTTTTTAAACGACGAAATGTTTATTGATAGAGAAAATTTCAACAAAACAGATTTTACATCTAATAATTTATTAGAAAACAAAAAAGATAAAATGCATGAAGCAAAGACTTCTAAAACATGTTTTGAAGACTTCAACAAACTTAATTCATGCCCAAATAATGTAGAAGATAAACGTTTTTCGTGCACAAGTGATGCAGAGGACGGAGATAGTGGTTTTCGTGATATAACGGAAGAAGATTCTGGCTCTGAAATTTTAAGAAACGTTTTTGACACAGAAGACGATACCACAAGTTTTAAAAGGTTTGTATGTGATTTTTCAGATAACGAAGAAAATGACAACGAAGAAACGTTAACGTTTAAAATGCCAGCTGATACTCCTAAGTCTAACCATCTTTATGATAAAAACGGACGCACAGAGACAATGAATATAAACTTACTACGTTCTACCATTATTGAGTTAGAACGTGCTTTATCCGACAGTAATAGTTTGCTTGAAAAACGCGATGAAGAAATAAATAATTTGCGTGCTCAAAACGCTTGTTTAAACAGTAAGTTGCACAACGAATCAAAGAATAACAAACAACTCAAACGAGATAACGTGGCTTTAATTAAAGAAAAAGACGAAAAAATTAATCAGTTAAAAAGTGAAATTGCTCTGGTTGACAAAAAAAATATTAGCCAAATAAATTTTGACGAGTCAGCAAATAAAAATTTTAGTTCTTCAAATAATTCTAAAAGTGACGTAGAATCTGAAAAAAGTTTGTCTTGTTGTTTTCGGACTCAGAACACTTCTCAATATGTTACTAAAGATCTATCAACTGAGAATAAAAACAATAGTTCTTCCTTGAAATGTAAAAATAATTCTGAAAACTTATTATGCTCTGATAAAAATGCGTGCTTTGAAAAGCCAAAGATTTCTTCAAAAAAACCTTCTAAAATAGAACTTCAAGCACAACTACGTATGAATTTTATGAGAGATGCTTTTTTCTACTATATGATAGGTTTCCATTCCGACGAGCAATTAAATGCAATTCTAGCAATTTTAGACTACGGAGATAAACGGAGAGATTTTATATTGGAGGCGCATAAAATGAAAAAGCTTGGTAAAAAACTAAACGCAACAAACGTTTCAACAAGATTGCTAACTTTTGTTCAAGAAGAAGCCACCTAAATAAAAAAATAATAATAATTGATTAGACCTTTACTCCACAAAAATTCTAGAATAAAACAATTCAATATTACCACGAAACTTTTGTACTTTTAAAATAATAATAATAAGTCAAATAAAACGAATATAAAAATACAATAACTTTTATTGTATCTTTTTTTAACAAGAAAAAAGTAGCTGCAAAAGAAGCAGTTGTTGTATTAAACATAAGAGAAATGCAGAGATAAAATAACAACTTTAAACATTTTTCAATAGAGCACCATCTTATGGTATGATAGACCATCTAATGGTGTTTATAGCTTACTAGTAGACATGGAACAAACTTAAAAGATTTACATTCTCATGCTTGCGTTAAATAATTAATTTATTAATTATTAATTAATAAATTAAATAATTAATTTATTAATTATTAATTAAAAAATAATAATGCTTTGTAAAAGATAAACTAATCTTTATACTGAAAACCGCCAAAGATACATTTAATTCCGCTTTCGGTAAAAAGTTGTCTCTAAAAATATAAAAAAAAATCTTTTCCTAAACTAAGTTGATATTTTGACACCTTTTTTAAAAATAGTTTGCTTCATAGGATCAACGGAGTGTACATACATCGACTGATATAGCCATAGGTACCGCAAAGGTTATTTAAATTGACTAAGGGTTTTAATTTGGGCACTGAAAAAGATATAGCGTAAAAACCAAAATCGTCGCTACGGTTTAAACAAAATTAGAATTAGTTAGAGACCATTACAAATATTAGAAAGTTAATTCAAAAAACTAATCAATTTTCCGCAGCAAAATTAAAATTTTACATCTTGTCTTAGTTAACCATTAAAATGTCTTTATGGTATCTGTTGATTAATTAAAAAAATTGCTATATAGAGTAACCATCATCTTGCGTTAGAATCAAAAATTTTTTTTTTTTAATCTAGTTGAAAAAAAACTAGATGATTATTACTCAATTAACATGCAAATTGAAATTTGAGAGAAATTTTGGAGAAAAACATTAGTTCTTTGAAAGTTGGACAACCAAATATTATATTAATAATGTAGAATTTTCAATTTCACAAAATTCTTTAGATACAAGAAAGAAAGGCAGAGAGTTAATGAAGTTGTTAATAATTGCACAGATAAAAACTAGTTTATGCTCCATGGTGTTTTTGGATAATCAAGCGTTTGTGGCAAAAAATGGAATGTCTGTATCTGGATTTGCACTAGTTAAGTATAAGTTATTATTTAACTAAATTTTTCATTTCCATATAACTCTATTGAGAATTTTAAGACTTATTTTCTTTTTTATTGTAAAAGGTTTTAAAAACTTTTTCTGTCCCCTTTAAACACAGTTATTATGTACCTTAAGTACTAAAAAAAGAAAAATTTATTCAAAGTTTTCAACTAAAAAAATAACTTTCAATGGCTTACTTTTTTAAAGGAATTATGATGGTACTTTCAATGCAAAATAAGTGCTTCTTTATATATTAAAAATATCACAAAATAATGTTGCAGGAAAGAAATTACCGTCTTTTCAAAAGTCTTTAGGCGTACATTTCAATTATGATTGAAGATATCTATAACTGGTAAAAGATTTATGACATTTAAAATTCATGAATCTGCCCTATACATACATGCATTCATATATATTTTCATGCACACAGTCGATATAATACACAGGGGTTGTAATAAAATGGTGGCAATATTTTTCCCATATCTAATAAACGGGGGTTTCTCTAAAAAAGAGCACCTTGCGAGTTCTAATAAACAAAGGGAGAGATAAATTCTTTAAACATAAAAACAAGATTTCCCAAAAGGATATAAATGACTTTTAAAACAGATTTTATTATAAGCTTTAAGAATAATAATATAAACGTAATCTATTATTGAAACAGATCCTTAAAGCGTTCCTGAATTAATCATTATCACCGTGTTGCTTTTCTTCACGTCCGATATGTTACATATATCATTATTTTTATAAATAATTTCAATAGTTTGTCGGCATAAAATGAAAACATCAAATTTAGCTTTTATACTGAACACGCATAAAATAATTAAATTATGAAATAGTTCGCATAACAGAAACATACGCAATAAATATTTAATTTTCACGTCAGATCATCCTAATTTATATCAATTAAATAGGGATATGGGCAGTGGAGTGATCATACATCAACTAAAGGTTTAGGTTTGGACTAGGGATTGCAATCCCGGGCATGAATTACGATCCCGGGATTTCGGGATTGAAGTAAATAAAATCCCGGGATTTTATGTAATGTGAGTTATTTGCTAAAAAACAGAACTTAATACTGCATATATGAATATACTTTTTGATGTTATCAATTCTTTATTTAATTTCATTATGTTATTTTCTTTATTTAATTTCATTATGTTACTTACATTAACTTTCTACAGGATAAACCTGCAAAGCAGTATTATATAACTCGTTATAATTCAGTATAGTTACCAACTTTGAACATTTTGTTTTACAAAATAATTGAATTAGTTCAATCCTGCTATAATCCCGAAAATCCCGGGATTTTGTGTTTAGAATCCCGGGATTTTCGGGACCCAAAAACGTCCAGGATCCCGGGATTGCAATCCCTAGTTTGGACAGGCATTCTTTAAAATAAAAGAAAGAGATAGAGACTAGATAATAGGAAGCGAGTCTCGGTATCGATACCATACATTATCGAGATTACGCCATACAGATATTGAAAGTATCGGTTATATTGGTATGGCTTGGCACCGATAGTAAAATTTGGCATCACAGCTCGGGTCTTTAGAGAGTTAGTATTTTTATAAACGATTAGTAATTTAATATAGTAAATTTATATAATAAGTGAGATGTTGGGGAAAGTGGGGAAACGTAGGACATTTAAAAATACTTCTAGACTAATTTAATATCTTTTAAAATGTATGTACTGCGTAAAAAAGTTTTAACAAATAAAGCATCATTTAGAGCACTGATTCAATCCCTTAAGATTGACAACAGGTTAAATAAAGTACATACATTTTTGATTATAGAGGAATTGTATCTTTGGTATAAATTGGGACAGATATGGGGTGAGGTGGAACGAGCGAGTAAATAACAACATATTCACAAAAATTGTTAATTAAAAACTATTTAAATCGTAATCTTCGTCAAAATAATCAAGAGGTTTTTTAGAAATTAAATGTTTTTAAATTTCAATAAGGTTTAATACGGTTATATAAGTTCTATACTATGGTGAGGAATATTAATAATATACCATAATATATTAATAATATACCATAATATATTAATAATATACCATAATATATTAATAATATACCATAATATATTGATATTATACAAAATGAATGTAACATATGATACAAGTAAACTATAGGTTATATAAATTAAATTATAATATATAAATTTTTTAAAAATACATAATTATTAATTTAAAACTTACAGGTAAAAAAATTATAAAAATCTTTTTTACAGCAATTTATATTTGAAACTTTAAATACAAAAATTTATTTTTATATAAAAACTCTAAAAAAAACTATTAAAAACATTTTTTGACATGAAAAAATAATAAAATCTACTTTTGTTTTTTTGAAAAAAGTTATTTTTTTTTTTTTAAATAACTTTTTTCAAAAAAAAAAAAAAAAAAAAAAAAGTAACTATTATTTGTTAATTTTTAAAAATATTTAAAAAAAAAACTTTCAAAGAAATTGAAAAATAACAGCATGAATTGAATTTTATATTTTAGGTTTCAGTTACGGACGGCGAAGTGCCTGAAAATGCTAAACTTGTATTCTGCCGAAGCGTTGAATTTCCCAATGTTAGCTCATCTTCGTTGCATTTACCACACAAAGTTATATGATGGAGAAGAGAATTTGTAATAGCATGCCTGGAATAATATTTAACATTATAACAAACCATAATATAATCATTGCAAATATGTAAAACATATTTTTTATATAAAACATTCTTTACAAATAAAAAAAAGAACATTAAATTTTTACAATGTCATCAATAAATAAAATTTAATTGTCTTAAAATTTAATTAGTCAAACACGGGTATCCTAAAGGTCACCTTAGATTTTATTTAATGTTGTCTCGATATTTTCAATCCAAAATATATAAAATTATAAAAATCTGAACCATTTAACAACTATTTCTTATTTTTTATTTATTCAAATCTTTTAGATCTTCTGCTTTAATCTTAAGATCAACATTTTCTGCTACAAGAAAATGTTGTTAAAAAATTGTCGCAGCTAACACATTAACTGCATATTAAACAAAGAAAATTTTTTTCAAAATAAGGTAGAGTGTGCACCCATGATCCAAAATACATCAGACCAATTTACTAAATATATGTTTTTATTTTGATTTCTAAATTAACAATACATGAGAGTAAACTTTATTTCTAATTATAATTTAATAATCATTTTTTACAAGTAGATTTTAAAGTATGAAAACTAAAAACACTTAACTGGGATCAAGGGTACATAACAGTATGCAGAGTTGTTAGTCCTAGGCCTTGTTTTTAGACCAAAAATTAAGACCTTGGTTTTGAAAATTTTGGCCTTGACCTTCCACTTTTTCTTTAAGAATTCAAAAAATTCTTCTTTCATGCATTAAAAAAAAGTTTACAACAGTTGATTTTGTTTAAAAGAGTTATTTTTGTTTACTTGAAATTTTTAGAACTTAATTTTGCGTTTTATGTCACAGTTTAAGTTGCAATTTTTGACTAGCCATTTCAAAGTAATAATCAATGAGACGATTGGTTAATGAGAATTTATTACATATATATTTTAAGTCACAAGATATCCTAACGCTTTTTATTAGTTAGAACATTTCAAAACTTAAAAAAAAGATTTAAACACATGATTTTTTCTTATAATTAAAAACAGAATTTTAAAGATTTTTTGACTTAAAATAGTTTTTATTTAAATTATAATTTATTTATTTTTTTTAAATTTATTTTTACTATTTTTTATACAACTTATCTAAATCTGTTTAAAAAGTTGTTAAAAAGTTGTTAGTAATATTTAATAGAGTTTTTTTTTAATAATTTTATTTATAAAATCCTTTTTTGAACTAATTGAACAATAGTTTGGTCATGAGAAGAACAGCAGAAACCATTTTGGCACCTACATTTTGGCACCTACGAAAAATAGTGTTAAACCTCAGTTTCAAAAATCCTTTACCAAAAAAAATAAATAAATGCTTTTTTGCAAGTAATGGAAAAAATCATGTTTTGTAAACAAGAACGAATCAATCACTATAATTTAATCAAAAAGATTTTTTGTAAAAAAAAACTGTACACAATTTACTAATATTCAAAAATTAGTAATCTATATTTGAAAGTATTTCTGCGTCCCTGCATCGCCAGCTTGTGTGGAGCGTATCTTTTGTCACAGTAGATTGATAATGTGCACTCATAAAGCTTGTATGTTTGATTTATTGCTTGAAACTCTGATATTTCTTAAATGTAATAAAAACCTATAGGCTATATAGTGATAGTTAATGGTTAACAACTAATAACATGGTTAACAACTAATATCAACATGGTTATAACTAATATCTTCAATTGATGTTACTTTTAGTTGTTAGCATTAAGCACAAAAATACATAAAATTAAATAATTAAAATTATTGATTATTAATTTATATGTATTTTTGTTTTCAGGTTTCATATATATCTACAAGTATATTTTCTTATTGACTTCATTGAATTCTGCACATAACCTTGGTCTAATTTCATAACATGTGGTTTTATTGTCACAACACTTGCTACCTACAGTTTTGTTAATAATTGGCCTTAGCGTAAGGCCCAAATTCAAGTCTTTGGTCTTGAAACTCTTATTCTTGGCCATAGCCTTGAAACTCTCATCCTTGGCTTGTAACATGTGGTCTTGGCCTTTCTACTTTTGGCCTTGTTAACAACTCTAACAGTATGTATCCTTGATCTTAGACATACACCCTTGATCTTACCTATACGCACCCTTGATATATACCAAATCAAACATAAATTTTGAAAAAAAAAAGTACTTTAGGATGTATAAATGTTTATGCAGCCCCTCTCAGGAACCCGGCCCCAGCTATATTTTATCAAACCCGACCTCGACCCTGGTCAAATATCAACCCTGGTCATTTACTAGGTGTGCTGTCACTTATGTCCTTTAACAAAACTCCTTGATCCAGGAAATGGCTTAATCAAAAGCTGGGGCATGAACAATAGCAGAAACTGGATCAACAACACCAAGATATGAGTTAGCAGTAATAGGTTCTTATTATAAAGCCAAACACTCATTATCAGAAAATATGTTAGAACTAAAGGGTTCAATTCCTGTCACAGCAAAACTAAATGCAGAAATATAGGAGTAAAAGCTTGCACATAAGCTTTACTTACAACTGCTGCTATATTATATAAGGTCATTGGTCTTGGATTAGATACAACCCAATCATCACAGGCTATATTGTAACAAAGGTTAAGTGACCCATACACTGACCAACCCAAAGGCTGCAACTTGTGGCTACAATGTAGTTGAAAGGACAGTATAGTTGAGACATATTTCTAGCTAAATCTGAACAACCATTTGAAACACGGCTCTCGTGGTTGTCAAGTAAAAAAAGAACCGGATTAGCGAGTGAACATTTCACATTTTGAATAAAATGCTTCATTCATTTTAACATAGCAACATTGCAACACTTACCCAACCAGATGGGTTTTGTCTCTAAATGTCTGTTTTTGTCAGATGGGTTTGTGTTTATTAATAAAGAAGATCATTATAAATAAAGATACAATACATTTATTTTATATATAAGACATAAAGAAAAAAACAAAAAATAGTATAAAATCTTTATTATAAGGTTATATTTTGGAAAAATTATTCCAAAACAATATGACATATTGTAGAGAAGTTTTCATGTTACTTTATAGCTTTTACCTTCTTTTTGAATGTGTGTGTTATGAATGCAACGATTAATGATTAAAATTTATGTCATTAATAAATTACTTTAGTCATTAACAAATTAATGACCAAAGTACCAAAAACTATAAAACTCAATAACCCATCATCATCACCAAGTTCTCTAAACCTATCATTCACTAATATTCGTGGTCTTCAAAATAACTTTTCTTCTATTGAATCTTATCTCTTACAAAGTTCATCAGACCTACTTTCTCTCCCTTTATCCATCAGCCAATATTGTTGTTGTTGGTGACTTTAATGCTCTTCACACTGATTGGCTCTTGGCTAACTTTTGCCTTTCTTAATTTCTAACTCAAATAGTCAACTTTGCAACTCGCTTTCTAGACAACCATTTACCTTCTCTACTAGACTTATGTCTTGTTTCTGATCCTAGTCAGTGCTCAGTTTCTCCATATTCACCTTTAGGAGCTTCTGATCACATTTTGATCTCTCTAAAACTATTATCTCATTCTTTTCATCATCAGAATCCCCCTATCATTGTACATTTTGTCTTCCTTATGACAAATGTGCCTCTTACATAACTTCTTGGATTCAGGCCGACATGGAATCTTTTATTCCTTCTCAACAATTCAAAGTCAAGCCTCACTCTTCTACATGGTTTTCAATCTCATCTCTTGATTCCACTAGTTGCATTCTAACTGATATCAGAGTTGTTAGTCCTTGGCCTTGCTTTAAGGCCAAAAATTAAGGTCTTGGCATTGGCCTTGAAACTTATGGCCTTGGTCTTAGCCTTGAAATTTTTGGCCTTGACCTTGATCGTTTTGGCCTTGGCCTTCATAAAAAATTACATAAAATTAAAGAATTAAAAATTTTCGTTCTTTATTTTACGTAAATAATTATGTAATTATTCATTCTTTATTTTATGCAATTACATTATTAACTAAAGGAAAAAATTTTGGACTTTGATCTTAAAAATTTTTGCATAGGCGTTGGCCTTGTTTTCCATGATGATGCCACATGCCAGAAACCTTGCAGTCTTGTTTTCCTGCAAGCGGCATCTGTTATCCCAATTTTAAAAAAATTCTGGAGAGCAATCTTACTTGTCTAACTACCGTCCTATTAGTCTTCTTCCTATCATAAGCAAGGTTTTTGGTTTTTAATTAATAAACACTTATTCTCTTTCAGAGAATAAGTGTTTATTCATCTTGAATCTAATAACTTACTTAATTGTAGTAAAAAAATTGTCCTTGATGAACAGCAGTCTTTTTCTTATTCTGTAACCTCAGGGGTTCCTTAAGGTTCAATCCTTGGCCCTATACTCTTTTAAATTTACATTAACGATCTTCTAGATATTCTCACATATAAGGTGGCATTGTTTACTGATGATACTACCATTTATTCATGTCATGATAAGAAGCCAACACTCTCTGATTGATTGGAGGGGGCATTTGAGCTTGAAAAGGATCTCACTTCTGCTACAGCATGGGGCTCACAGTGGCTGGTGAACTTTAATTCAGATAAAACTCAATTTTTTTCAGCCAATCGTTATCCCAATAATTTAGACCTTCCTATATTTATAAATGGAAATGTACTTGATGAGTCATCTACCCTTGATCTTCTAGGATTAACTCTTACTTTTAATCTTTCTTGGAAGATGTATATCAAGTCCATTGCAAAATTAGCATCTGCTAAGGCTGCATCTCTTTATCGTGCTCGACATATTCTTACTCTGGATTCTATTTTTAATCTCTATAAATCTCAAATCCATCCTTGTATGGAATACTATTACCATATCTGGGGTGGATTCTAATGATGCCCTTTCTCTTTTAGACAAAGTCAGGCTTGGTCAGGAAGGCGTGCAATTTCACGGCTTTATATGACTACACAAATAATATTTCGTTTTGATTATTTGACCACAGTTTTAACTTTTTAATAAAGCGCTATATTTTTTACTTTTTAATAAGCGCTTT